TGTGTTATAATGTCTTTGTTATTATATTATATAACTAAAAAATATATAAATAATAAATTATTCTTTAAATCGATATAATTTTTAGAATGTATTGATTGAATATATAATGATATATTGATGGGATGAATTAAATTTTGTTTATTATAGGAATTATTTGATATTTGATTAAAATTATTGTACTATAAATTAATTGAATATATTTTTAATTGGGAGTATTATTGATGATTTAATACTTTAGAATTCCAAATATTATTGTCGCTAATTAATTAAATATGGAACATCTTGGGATTTATTTGAATTAATATTTTTTGATTTATTGGGATTTGGTTGAATTAAGCTTTCTTGTTTTTTTTGTTTGTTTCCGAATTTTGTGGGTATGTATTTGTTTATATGATTGTTGGTTTTGGTTTTTATATGTTATTGTTAATAATATGAAATATTTATTTATGTTGTTTATTTATTTATATTTTTGGTATATTTATATTTAATTTTAACATTTTATATTATTATTATTATTTATTTTAAAATTTATTATATAAAATATTATTTTCTCTCTTTTATTTTATTTCTTTGATTTGTTTTTATCTCTTTTTATTTCTTTGTTTTTTTGTTTCTTGTTTTCGATTGTTCGGGATTAGTTTTCGTAATGTCTTTATTTTATTTATACATTATTTTAATAAGTGTTTTTTATCTTTGATTTTTTAAATTGGTGTTTGATGTTTTCTTTGTTTATCTTTTTACGGATATTTTATTAATTATATTAGGATATCCGAATAATTTAATTTTAATATTCAATTTTGATATATATTGGGTTTTGCACAAACTATTTAAACATATGGGACGTTCCGACTATATCGTGATTTCGAATGAAAGAGGAAGTCGGAGTTATGTCCGATTGCAAATTCCGTTCCTTAAATTGTCTCCATGTTATAAGCTAAATTTTAATATGGATATTCGATTGTATAGTATATCCCTCGAAATTATTAAAATGAATATGGTATATTTTTATATTGGTATTTATTAATCGGTGTTTTTTGTTTAAGATTCGCTGTTTATTTTGATTTTTATATTATTATTTGGATAAATTGGTTTATTTTAATTATACAATACCAATAAATAAGTTAAATATATAATTTATATATATATATATATTATTTAAATAAATAAAACCAATAATAATTATAATTATATATATATAATATTAAAGGTTAAATTCATATTCATATATAAATTAAGATATATAAAAATATATTCGAAACAATATATATATATAATATTTTAAAAGCAAATCATTTAAATTAATTAGATTTATTTAAATATTGGTTTAATAATATAATATATATATATATTATGCATGAAAAATAATTTAAAAAACAATATTAATATAAGTGTCATGTTCGCCTACAGATTAGCAATTGCCGCACAGGGATATGGTTTTCAGGTGGGACTTATTTGTTGCGCCGCGCACATGTTCAGTTCTGTTCGAATGTTGGGTCCCGCGTAGCGCTGGGTCGTAACGGGAGGGGGCAATATGTATTTTTTGTTGACTAGTAACATAGTTTAGAGTTGGGAAGATTTACTAGAAACAAAAATTTAGGGTTGGGGGGTTTCGGGTTGCTAGGTGGAGGGCAATGTGTTTTTTTGTTGATCAATAATATAATTTAGGATTAGGAGGTTTCGGGTTTCTAGATGAACAATGTTTTTTTATCGGCCAGCAATACGGCTTAGGGTTAGCAGCTTTTAGATTTTTGGATGGGGGAGTATGAGCCTTCTTTTTGTTGATTAGCGACACAATTTGGGGGGTTTCGGGATTTTTAGGTGCGACGATTATGTGTCTTCTTTTTGTTAACCAACAAGATAATTTAGGATTCGGGGATTTCGGAATTCTAAATAAGAGATCAAAAACATATCGCTATTCTAAAAAACATCATTCTCTCTACCACATCCTACTCACTTCGCCAACCTCCAGAATCTAGAATAAAGGCTTCTCACCTATCAATCATAGACGCAGGAAGGAGGATATAATTAAGGAATTTATCCATGAAATTGTTTCATAGCCAAATCCTTTATCCCTTAGAATTTCCAGGATTTAGAATTGTTTACTACATTAACGATTAGAACCAGGTCAAAAATTTTACAAATAACCGTCTATAACCAAGAAATCTTAACCATTAATTACTAAGGGAAAAATCATCCATGAAATATTATATTTCTCCAAATCCTCACTCATAAACCCAACCAAAAGAAGATATTAAATCATAAAATAATTAACCTAAAGAAAACACATTCAAAAAACCATTTAATCTTAACCACAGAGAAATCTCTTCCAACTCACTTTGCTAATCTCCAAAATCTAGGATTATTAAACCACGAAAGAATGAATGAATAAAAAGAACAACATGACATAAAAAAAACGCAAAACAAAGAGAAATAAAAAGAATCCAAATAATACAAAAGAATGGATTCTAAAACTATTTCGTTTCTCTCAACATCCCTAAACACATTTTATCTCCTCTAGAATTATCTTATAATCAACAACATTAAAATTAATATAATAAATATTATAACCTAATATCAGAATTCAGAATTAATTGCAAAGAAACAAATTATCCCATTCATTCCATATATTATTAATTCCATCAAAAATCATATCAAATAGAAACAAGATCATTCATTCGCCATTCTCCATCTCTTTTAACTCATTCACACACTCCATCTCTCCAACATTCATTTACTTCTCTAAAATACATTAGAAAAATCAAAAAAATAATTCTTAAAAATAATTAACAAATTAATATAAATTCTAAAAAAATAATAATAATCTAATAAAAATACAATTAAAATATAAAATAATGCAAATAAAATTCATAAAATAAATCTTCGTGCCTCAAAAAAATCGATTATTCTCATCTTAGATATTTGGTTTGCATTATTAATAAATTCTCATTTACAATTATGTCTTTATCTTTTAATCTTAATTTATACTTAAAATTATTTTTTCTTTAAAAAATTATTATTTTATTATAAAATATATTTATATATAATATCAAATATTAATTCACCATAATAATATAATATAAAAATATTTTCTTTTTATTCTAATAATATTAATTATCTTTCTTTATATATTTCTATATTTTATATTTCATAATTTTATAATAATAGTATTTAATTTTCTAAAATTGTTATTTATTTCTTCTTAATAAATATAATATTTATAAATTATATTTTACCAAATAAATAAATACATTTATTAAACAATATATAATAAATACAAATTTAATATCTTATAATCCATCTTTTATAAAATAATTTTGTAAAAGATATTATAATTACAATCCAACATTAAAATTATATATCATTTATATCCATTTCTGCTTTGCGATTTTCCTTTTTATCATATTTAATCTATATTATCTAATCCTTATAAAAAATTCATTATTAATAAAATATTTTTTTTATTTTTCAATATTAATAACCATTTCTATAAACAATTATTAATTCTCTATCAAATTATCTCCGAATTCTATTCTTTCTGATACCCAAATAATATATTAATAAAATTAAATTCATTTATATATAATACCTAAATAATATTTATTATACCAATAGATTATATTAAACATTATATCAATAAAACATATAACATTTATATCTTAATATATAATTATTGTAATTTTAAAATTTGTATCTTAAATATATAAAACCAATATTACAATAAACATAATATTATTAATATTATTAATATTAAAAATCTAAAATAAATAAACTAAAATAAATAATTATTAAAAATTAAAAATAATTAAGATTTCAAGATTTCCAAAAAAAACTCCAACTAACTAATTAATTCAAAAAGAGGAAGACATATAAAAACGGTCAATATTAATTATTTAACAACTGTTTAATTTAAATCGAATATAATTTAAATTGGATTTTGTATTTTATTGATTCAATAGATGCGATCTGCAACCTTGGTAAAATCAAATAATGTTGTATGTCAATTTCCTCTCAATCCTCAAGGTCTCGGCACCTGCCCCCCCAAAGTGTTAATGCCTACCATGCACATGCGCGCATGGAAATTGCCACCTTGCGGAATCGAGAGATTGGTAAATTTAACCTTTCCCAAATTAGAGCCTTCTTGATGTTTGCTGCATCGGAATAGGCATCAGCAAGCAGCGGCGGAATGGAACAAAGCAATCAGATCAAGCAAGTGCTGCAATGAACACTTTAAAACGTCAATCTCATGAACCCCAGTCAGCATCGATGAACCAAGGAGTTCGAATGAATGCTTGCGCTATTCCGCTTCGGAAAAGCATTTGAGCCGCTGTCAAACTCTGTGCGTGTGCAACACGCGGTCAATGCAAAATGTCATTTGGCCTGCCCTCCGGAAACGAACTTTGCAGCAGCCATGTAACATCCTTTGAAGCCTGGTCTTTCATTGACCTTTTTCTTGTATGCAATTCAGCGGCCCCCAGCTTCTTCATCGCATCTAGCCAGTCTTCTCTATCTCGAACATTGCGAGTTTTGATAGCCAATGCTGCCTGCAGCGTCCACATTGTGGCTAGCACAATTTCCCCATATATGGTGTCAGATTGTCACCCTTCACCCACCAATTCCTTGCTAGTGTGATCCCAGCTTGCCATGTCAGGCTTGATCCGATCCTGAATTGTTTTAGTAGATTGACGAAGGTCCCTAGCATTTAACTTCTTGCAATCGGCAAATGCTTCTGCGTCAGCCTGCCGCTGACTCTGGATGACGATGCAAATCTCGCCCGAGTTGCCGCGGACTGAGCGAACCTGCGCCAAGAGCATCACCTAACATGACCGATTCATGTTGCACTCCTAGCCAAAAGAGGCTTTCCTGAGCGTATGGATGGCACAGACTTGTTGTCTGCCTGCAGAGGGAGGCATTTCGGCTGACTTTCCCCAGAATCAACCGCATGTAGACAGTGCGACCTGGACACCTTTGCGTCAGGCCAGCGCCACACGCCTTTCTGCCTCTCAGGCTGTCTTCTTCCCGGCTGTCCGCCATGTTGGCTTTCCAAGAAGTGCGTTGCTGAGTCGCTTCAGAACAGCATCTCCAAGCAAGGCATACCTTGGCAACGGCCAAAACTTGCGGGATTATGCAAACCACCGAAACAAGCACAGATCCAATTAGGCCAGTCACGGAGTCACCAAACAGTACACCACTGCTGAAGCCACAACAGCAGCTGCCCAGGCCCATAACGTGTACCCCATCACCTTAGATTAGGCCAAGTTGTGGTAGCATGTTCTGGCCAGGGGCTCCGTGATCGCCAACGATGTCCTTTGCATTGCAAGAATCCGTCAAAACACGTTGCAAGTCACGTGAACGTGGTGGAACTCCACGGGCATGAGCATAAGACGTCCACCTTGGCTGGGGACAACCTGTCGGTGCCCGTATGGCCCAGCTCTTCAAATTGTGCTGCACAGACCCGAGCTAGAAAGTGCATGCCTCGCCACGAAGATAATGGATCGCAAAAATGTTGGACAAGTTTACGCCTGAGCAGCGAAGTGTGGCTTGCGATGTCACTTCAAATAATGGAATGTAGGTAGCTGATACTACAAAGCTGCAAACCATCGTACATAGCACGCAACATGTTCGTGCAAGATGCCGGGTTCCCTATCACATCAACGGCTGCCCGATGGCTGCAGTGCACGTTGTCTGTCTTTGCAACCCTTGACTGATAAGGTAATGACCTAGCGACAGCCTGGAGGCGAGCATCACCCACCTGCCAGGGATGGCAGACTGCCACGACTGGGCAACATGTGGTTCACATGGATCCACAAAGAATGTGGGGGGGGGGGTGCACTTCACAATGGGCAAAGTCTGGCGGGGTCTGGTCAAACATGAAAAAACAGTTGTTCCCTCCATCGTCCCTCTTGACAAAATGAACCTCCAGGGGTTGCCACGCAGAGGAGGGCTACTCATGAACAAAAACGTCTTCTCAGGCAATGTCCAAACAAGAAGGTACAAGCGATCCCTTAAGCAGGAGGTTGGCACGCTTGTGCAACGTCCGCAACTTACGAGTCCAGGGCACCAGCTGGGTGTGGCAGCTGATCCATTCTGCGCCATGTTGCCAAGCAGCAAGGCCTTAGTTGAACCAGGCCATCTGCATCATACTGAAAACTGCAAACTGCCATACCTTCCAACCACGTGGAACCCCAGGATGAAAGTCAGCCTCTTCAACCTCTGATCTCATGGGTCGGACGGCCCAGCGGTAAAGCGTCCAAACCTCATGCAGGACCTGAACATCACAAAACTGGCATTGCCCAGTGTGAAAAGAAGTCACTGAATTTGCAATGTTCTAGCTTCTACTTCACCGCTTCTACTTGAGAATAATTTGGTGCTAGCAAAGCAAAACAGGCTCTGCTCCTTCAGTTGCGCGTTTGCACCTCTGAATCTGAACAGGCCAAGGCATGCCATGCTGAAGTCAACCGAGTGCCTGGCGATGGCGCAGGCGTGGAGGCCGTTGCTCGCCGCAAAGGTCGCTGCTTTGGAAGGAGAGAAGATCATGTCAGCGACTGGAACGAGGGCACGAACGAACTTCTGTGGTGCAGTGATCTTCGACCGTCTGCGCACGCCCACTCCCTCTATCTATCTCTCTCTCTCTCGTGTTTCTCGCCCTCTCTTTGTCCCGCTCTTTTCTCTCTCTCTCTCTCTCTCTCTCTCTCTCTTGTTCTGTCTTTCTTTCTTTCTGTCTGTCTGTCTGTCTTTCTTTCTTTCTTCCTTTCTTTCTTTACTTCTTTCTTCCTTCCTTTCTTTCTTTCTTTCTTTCTTTCTTTGCTTCTTTACTTCTTTACTTCTTTACTTCTTTACTTTTTTCCGTCTTTACTTTCCTTCTTTCCTTCTGTATTTATTTCTTTCTTTTTTGTTTTATTGATTTCAAACAGTCTTTCCTTATTGTTTCATTTATTTCTGCCTTTCCTTCTTTCTTTCCCTCCCTCTCTCTCTCTCTCTCTCGCTCTCTCTCTCTCTCTCTCGCTCTCTCTTGTTCATCTCACACGACAGCCCATTCCTAGCTTCTTCTCAACAATGCCAGCCACCCGCACAAGCAGCAAGGAGGAGTACAACTCCATGACTCGGTCACCCTGCCTAGACGCGGACTTTGCTCGTCTATGACCTGCAACCCATGCATGCACCGTTGAAACAAGCGTGTATCTTGCATGCTTAAAACCTCTGCACAGGGGTCTGGGACCCATGCCTTGCATCTGCCCTGGCTGTTTAAGTGTGCATGTGTCAAAAACCTCCGTGGCCTTGCCTGTGGGTCACCAAAAATGTTTGGGTGTACCACGCAACTTGTGCCGGCCTGAGTTGGAGGAAGCCTTGGTTGCACGGACAATCGGACGACGCAGTGTAACCCTTGTTCTAAGCCAAGCATCGTAAGCCAGTCTACCTCAGTCGTCAATCGTTCCAGTCGGTGTGCAACGTGCAATGAAGAAGCGGATCTGCGTCTTCTCAAAACCAAACATTGAAGAAACACACGTTTGCGCTTCCGTGACTTCCATGTAGGCTGCCTTCCTTCAAACAAGCCTTTGACCATCAAAACAACGATCCCAAAATCTGATCATGAGCCGTGCGACCAGCAAGGAAAGCGCCAGGAACAGCAATGGGATTCTGACGCTTGTGCGCGGCACCTGAGACAAAGAAAGCCCCCACACGATCCAATTGATAAATTGATGAAGGGGTCCATTCCCATCCACTGTATACAAACAAAGCCCCAAATCTCCGTTGCCGCTGCTATCTACACACTGGCCGCTCAAGCACGTGACAAAGAGTGAGCGACCATTGACAAGCAGTCTCCCGGGCCTTTACCAGTGCACACAGCAGCGCCCCGGGCAGCAAGTGCGCCGTGGTCATGCCCACAAAGCGGTGCCCCGGGCGGAATCCCTCAGGAATCTCGTACCCGGAAGGCTCTGCTCCCGAAACATCGCGAGTTGTCAATGGAATGCTCAAATTTTGGTCTTCCCTGATCTGGCCTCGTTGATGATCTCTGGTTCCCACCACAGACCCATGGCAATCAGCAACGTGCCAGCCAGCAGCCCAAGAACGTAACCTCAGAATCGCTTGCTGGCTTGACGGGAGATGTCACTGCTGTTGGCGTGGGGCCAGCTTCCATCATCAATTGTTCCCACTGCTGTAGTGAAGCAAAGCCTAAAGACTGCGGACAACACCTCTGGGAAGGATGAGCGTTTTGTGGAGAATGAGAAGGCGCGAGCAATGACCTGGCTCGGGTGCCCCTTCAGCTTTCATACTCGAGCAAACACGAAGAATGCTGCCCCGATGTGCGGCTCGGCGGCCAAAGAAGTGCTTCACAAGGCCCACGCCTTCAGACATGAGCACTCTATGGGAAAAAGCCATCCGAGACACTTTGGTGCAGGGTTTGGCACGGCAGGGCGCAACTGGGACTCAACGCTTCCATGACCAGGCCTGCAGATAAAACGCTGACAGCGAACAGATTCTCGAAGATCTGCAGCACAAGTTGCGGCACAGTCGGAAATGTCCCGGACCCAACAGCCGGGCCGCCTTTGTTCAAACCGCCTACAACACCACGCCCATGGACTCAACAAGACATCCGCAACCCCAACTCAGAGCCGGTCCGGGCCCTTCTAAGTGAGCCGTTGCTCATCAAGGAACACATCCAAGTTTGGCACTCTTTGGACTGATAGCAGTTCAAATAGCAAGCAAGAGGGCATGATTTGCACAAATGAGTTCCCCCAACTCTTCCAACTCTTGCGGACTGAGACAACCTGCCTGCATGTTGTGGCAAACGGACACAACAGGCTGGTAGAGCTTGAGAGCTGCATTGACTGGACTTGGCATGCAGTACCAGACCGTGGAGGATTACAAAGTGTGGACTCAAACAAAAAGTGAAAAACGTGGCTGGGCTGCTGGCGCGTAGACAAACATCAGGCTCAGTAGCCACATGGAAGGCACATGCTCCTCACAGCATTCATGCCTTAAAGGGTGCAGTGGAGTTACAGCCCCGCCCAAGTTTGCCCAACTCCATCCGTAAGACCTAGCAGGACTTGCGAAAAGCTGTTGAACTTCATCATCCAAACGCAGTAGTCACACTCAGCAACGCGCAACAGCAGCAAGCCTCCACATTTCTACTCCCTAAACCCCCTGCACAAGCTGTTGCCAAATCCTTCTGCAAATGATTAAATACTTACCGACTGAAAGCAGCTAGCTGGACCTGGAATCTACACAATCACCCTCAGATTCTGCAGTCAGCTGTCCGCCAGGCAACCCCAGAATCTTGCTCGGGACATCAAGCATGTCTGCTTCAAATCCAAGGAAAAGTAATGGGGCATTGACATGGCCAAAACTCTGAAGGGAGGTGGCCTGGTTGGCCCCGCAACTGTCCTCAACACCCCATCGACTTGAGAGTACCCAGAGCTTTTTGCGGAAATGGCCCACCTGCGGCAACCGGCAGCTGCGACGGACAGGCGCCGACAGGCATAGTTCCCGCCGGTCCTACGGTCAATGGCAGAAAGCCTACAAATCTGGGCATGCTGATGTGATGGCGCAGGGATTTCAAATGTGCAATTTGTCGTGTCATGCTGTTTGGTTCCCTTCATGTTTCGCCAACCGAAGAGCAGCTGCCGGCACCAAACCCGCCTGGTACCAGATCTGTGCGAACTCCGGGAAGGGCTTCCATGGAATGTCTTGCGAGAGACAAAGGAAAAACCACCTTGGGGCATAAGGCAAAGCCACCTTGACCTTCATCCATGGTTGACAGGCCTGTGCAGAAACATGCGCCTAAACACGAATTCGGCGCTCAAACACTTGGCAAGGATGTGGGGAAGAGCGAGGGCAGCCCAAGCATCCGGCATCCAAAAGCCCAGCTCACAGACTTGCCTGGCGGAAGCCGGCTGTGGCCTTTGCTTCCCAAAATGGAAAGACCAACAGGGGGCCAAACGGAAGAGACTGCCATCTGACGCGGAACATGCCTGTCCCTTGCCAGGAAATGCCTTTGAACGTCTCATGTCTGACCACAATCATATGCTTACGTCAGTGGCGTTTGCGCAAAGCCACACAGCTGCTGAGCTGAGACGGATGAGAAAGCTGACAAAGTTGATGTTCGCAAATTGTCTAGTTCCAGCCCGTGTTTCCCAAAAGCAAACATTTAGTGATTGCATGGTGTTCTTTGTTGTGATTTGTTGGTGTCGGTTGGCATATGTTCTTGTAATTGTCATCAAGGAAACCCGGACGAGGCATCTGGCCTCAGCCAGCGGCTGAGCAGCCAACGGCCACAGACCACAGTGGCCTTTTTCAGGCCTCCCGGGTGCGAGCAAAGCCACGAACCGTGACAACTATGAGCTGATCAAGGATTTACATTGAAAAAACAACGTGACAATCTGGGTTCACTGGCCGTACTTCTAGAAATCAATCGTGCCATCTGAGAAAGACATGAGAAGTACAGACATATTTGCGAATGCTTTTGTGGAGGCTACACAAAAGTGCTTCCGATCTTTGGATGCTGAGCCTCTGCCACAGAAATTGGGGCGTCTGGCGTCTGTCAACGTCTACTGAGCACCCCGTGGATGCAGAATTCCGGAGCCCAACGTGAGCCCCCAGACACCCGACGGCACCCGACGGCACCTCCAGGGCCAGCCGCAGCCAGCGCCCTCTCCATGGAGCGAAGGCTAAGGTAGGCCGACACGCACGCGAAGGTGTGGTTCACGCGGCCAAGGATCTGTCAGCTCTCGCGACGAAACGATTTGGAGATAGAAGGAGAGTTAGAAGATCAAAGGCCATGAGGTCTGCCTGCAAAATAACAACCATTGCGATAGAGTTTCGCACAGCCTTGGCCACTTGGCTGGTCAATGGTTGGAAGGACTCAATGCCGCCGTGACCACTGTTGCCCAACCAATCCTCGGCGTGCGCAATGCTGATAGGTCCAAGAAATCGATTCAGACTTTGCATCGGCGGTTTAAGGTCAAAACACAAGGCCCAGGGAAACAGGCGGTCGTTCACCTGGGCGCCAACCGAGTGTGCAGAGGCTGGAGCCGTGTTTCTGCTTTTTTGCCCACGGAATCTTGAAGCTTACATCCTGAAAATCACATGCTATTATTGCCAAACACAAGGAAAAATGCAGAGAGGTGAAAGGCAAGGAGGGCATCCATGCCCTGATGCCTCGTTCGAAGCGGCAAATATCCGCCAAGATTCCACCAACAGGACAACATGTTGCCAGGTTACCAAGAGCTGCAGGATCAGCCGCACCAGGTGGAGAGATGACAAGTCATCCTCTGTACTCCTTCCGAAGGAGTATTCGGCTGTCAGAAACATGGCTCGTGCGCCATAAGTATCAACCTCCTTCATGATTGAGCTCTTCCGAATGACGCTTTTATTGACTCCTCTTCAACACAGTCGCCGAGGTTCAAACTGAGTGCCTCCAGGGGTGCAATCATGGCCGTCGACAGCCGTCACGTGCTCATGGTCAACACAAAGAGAGAGAGAGAGAGAGAGAGAGAGAGAGAGAGGGGGGGGGGAGAGAGAGAGAAACAGAGAGAGAGAGAGAGAGAGAGAGAGACAGAGTCTATTTCTTGCATCCATCCCAAACCCATCCTGCAGAGATCTGCCAGGTGCCGCTGGGGCGCGAAAATCCGCAGCCAGGAACTGGATTTGCCTCGCATCTTTTACCGAAGGGGGTCTTGCGGGGTACCAAATTATTCAGGCTTGTGTTTTAGCCAAGCCTTGTGAGTCCCTGTAACGTAGTGTTTGGCAGTTGGCTGGGAGAACCGGGCGTCTGTAATCACTTGGGTTCATTCATCACGTGCAAACGTTATTATGCATTTGTGTATATATATATATATATACAGAAGGGGTCGTCATGGGGGCTGAGTTTTTTCAGATTCCTGGGGGCTGAGTTTTTCAGATTCCTGGGGGCTGAGTTTTTTTCAGCAAAAAACCAAAAACACAGCCCATCATCTGCATCTTCTAGTTCAGGGCCATGGGTCTGGTTTTTTTGGTTTTTTTTTGGTTTTTGGTTTTTTGATGCCTTTGCTCATAAACACCAAGAAAACCAAAACAACAAAAAAAACCCATCATCTGCATCTGCTAGTTCAGGGCCATGGGTCTGTTTTTTTGTGCCTTTGCTCATAAACACCAAGAAAACCAAAAAACACAGCCCATCATCTGAAGACAATACTTTGTTGATGCTTTCTTGATGCAAGCTTTCTTGATGCAAGACATCAATAATATGATGAGATGTGTATCAACAGAACATAAGCCTCTTCCAAGATATTCTGCTGGTAACTCCAGGTAACTGGAGATAATTTATCTCATCTCTCATTTCATCTTCTGCAGGTAACATCTCATCACAAGCAATTGCTTGTGGCTTGTGTCTACTTGAATCTATTCTGAACAGCTTTACTGTTGCAAGAGCTCTTCAGCAACACGAATAGCTGCAGAGAATCTTATTCCAAAGCTCTTATTCCAAAGCTGAACAGCTTTATGCAGAGAATGGTATTTGCATCTGCAGATATCGTTGCAGGTGCTCATCTTTGCACCTTGTGCTTCTTGAGCTCAAGCAACTAGATTGGAGCTGTGCCTCAATTGCTCCAGCTCATTATGCGATAAATATGTTTGTGTTAGCTGTCTTTTCTCAAGAGCATGGGCAGAGCCCATGCGTATATTGAAAAATATTGAACATCCAACTGTAAAAAGAGATGAGTCTTGCAGCTGAAAGCTGCATAGATCAGTGATATCTTACCTTTCTTATGATTTCATATGCGTGGCAAGCTGTGCTTGCCATACTTACGTGTTTCAGAATTGCAACACAACAATAATATTTGTCCCAAACATACATCTGCTTGCAGATTGCTAAGCATACGTCTTCCAAAATATTGCATACGTATGCAACTTGTGTTGAAGATTTGTGCCAAACATACGTCTTCCAAAAGTTAGCACCCTGAGGTTTATAAACTTGGCATGCGTAAGCATGCCAATTATCCAAAAATAAGCTACAGACACACGTTTGCTAAATATTTGTGTCCAACAATGATATTTGTGCAAAATAGTTCTCAACAGGCTGTCTTCTGTGCAGATTGAAGCTAGCTCATTTTCCAGGTCTGGATGCATCTGAGTCTTCATTGGATCGAAATGAATCTGTGCTTGCATGTCATCAGCCAAAAAAAAACGCACCCCAATAAATCTAAGAGGTCACGGGTCTTGATCGTATATTGTTGGTATTTTTTAGTGTTTTTAATGGAAAAACTCAGCCCCCAAGAATCTGAAAAACTCAGCCCCCAGGAATCTGAAAAACTCAGCCCCCAGGAATCTGAAAAACTCAGCCCCCATGCCGACCCGCCCTCTGTATATATGTGTATGAGCTACTGCTAAAACGGTTCGTGTTAGGGAGCGTATTGGAGTGGAAGAGGGTAAGAATCCTCAAAATCGATGGCAACTGAAAAAGAAGGCTCCTTACTAGGCATTCGGCGGACTGCGTGGGGCGCGAGCAGGTTGTGTTTGTTTCTCTGCTTGTTTGTTGGCGGCTTTGTTTGTGTTGCGCTTGTTTGTTGACTTGTTTGTTTTGCGAGATCCCCGGACCCTCTACGTCGAATCGTTACTCCTCTTGTAATCGCTGGGTCGCGGGTTCGACGATCCCCTTTGGGCCTGCAGGAAGATCGCAACTTTAAACACACAAGTAACACGCGAGGCGCATTCCAGCAGCTCCGGCTGGAACATCGCAACCTTCAAGTACAAAGTATTAGGCGAAACGCATTCCCGCAGCTCTGGCTGGAAAATCGCAACTTTTCAACACAAAAGTACGCGCAGACCCCCCGGGCCTAGCAGGTTCGCAATGGAACAGCTCCCTCGCTTCTCTGGCACGTGTCTGGGTGACTGCGTGTCTTGGAAGGGGTCAGCCACCTTGCGTTTTGTGTCGTTGCAGTCCGGCGGGTCTGGATGCGATCGGTCATACAGGCGCTGGGGCCGATTTTTTGGAAAAGGCTCTGAACGGGACTGAGGGTTCCTTTCCTTTTCTGTTGTCTGTTCTGTTCTTCCTCGCCATCGTGCAACTCGGCCGCATGGGCACCCAGAAGCTGGCGGTGAGGCCTGCTATGACGGTTGCGGAGCAGTGCCGTTGACCCGACAGTGGAGGGGCTGCTCGGGCCGCAGAGAAGTTTACTTCTCTGTAGGTCGCCCTCCAATCCAATCCAATCCAAAGTACGCGCAGACTTGCGCGGAGCAGCTCGTGCAGAGCGCGCGTGCAAAGACACTTGCGCAGAGTAACTTGCGCAGAGCAACCTGCGCTGAGCTTTCGGCGCAAAGCACCTTTTCTACTGCCGCTGCGCGGGCAGCTTGCGCAGAGCAACTTGCACCCTTTTCAACACAAAACGGCTTGCGCACGCAACATGCGCAGAGCGCTCGCACAGATCGAAGTGCAGACTTGCGCGGGGCAACTTGCACAGAGCAACTTGCGCCGAGCAACTTGCGCAGACAGCGCTGCACCCTTTGCACACAGCGCTTGAGATGAACCACTCGAAAAGAGCTACCTGTGCAAAAATACCCGCACAGAGCAACCGCAAATTGCGAAACGCGTTGCGCGGTGGGAGGATGTGGGGCTTGACAAAACATTCGGGCCAATGCTCCTCTAGATTGCTTGCTTCATCGTTTTTTGTCCCCCAAAGAGTGGGGCTACACTCTTACGGTGAGATCAAAGGTGCGCACAGAAATCCGCACTTCAACTGCGCAGGCTCGCTCACAGGGCCGGGACGACTTGCCTGTCTTTCAAGGGCGCACTCTCGCTGGTGCCGCGCCAGTTCCAAAAACGGTAAAACCCTCTGCGGACTTCGGGCGCGTTGGATCACCCTCGCTGTGGCGCGGCGCGAACTTAGCATCGAAAACCAACCCTCTGCGGCGGACTTTAGGGGTGTTAGATCACAGTCGCTGTGGTGAGGTGCGAGTTTTGAACGGCGAACCGTCTGCGGGCTTTGCGAGTTCCGAGCGCTACCCTCTGCAGGCTTTGGGCGAGTCGGATTGCTATCTCTGCGCCGGAGCGATGAACATCGGCAGTGAACTTTTTTCTGAACATCGCAAGCGGGCCTTCTGCAGGCCTCAAGGTGCTCGGATCGTCTAAGATCCAATCAGGGGATCCGATCTTTTGTCAAGAGGTCCTACCAAGATTAAAAACATCTTGCGCCAGTTGCTGGCGGGGTGATCATGTTCACGAACTATCTGCGCTGGCCCTCTAGAGGACGCTTGCTACAGATCCTGACGAGGACTTGTAGAGGACTCTTGCGGAGGTCCGGCGCACAAAAGATCCTTTCCCCGCCCCTGCGCAGATCCTTCCACAGAGGTCTTGCTCACGCAAGCCTTGCTAGAAGTTCTCTCAGAGAAATCTTGCACGAACCTCTTGCAACAGGAGCTCTTCCATGGGAGCTTTCAGAGGCTTAAAGAGCTTCTGTTCGAGGAGCGCGATCGGTTCTACGACTCTGTGTGGAATGGCGCACGCCTTCACGATTCTTGTCTCTCTGTCTTGTTCTGAGTGTCTGTCTGTCTGTCTCTGTCTGTCTGTCTGTTTGTCTGGCTGTCTGTCTCTTTGTCTGTGTCTCTGTCTGCAAGTGAGAGAGACAGAAAGAGCTCAACCGCAGGTGTGCTGAGGTCTTCCACGCGCGATGGGCACGCTGGGCAAACAAAAGGGGATCAGGGGTGAGCAAGGAGGAAGGCCGACGGGGAAAACACAACCAGCAAACCCACCAGGGCATCCGCCGAACCCTTAACCTGAACCGGTCACTGGAGCGAATTAGAACTCGCGCTGCGCGGTTTGCTAGTTGCAGCAAGCCAGTTCCCGCCACGCTTGCTCGCCAAGGTGGTTCTTGCGTTTTGTGTTCGGGCTTCGGCCCAACTGCCGCGGTTCCCAACTGGAGAGCAAAACGCTGACCTGGTGCTGCTGCTGGCTCGTGAGTAGCAGCTTGCTGCTGCGCCGAAAACTGCTTGTTGGTGTGAAGTGTCAAAGTGGTACTCCCTTGCGCTGTCGCGATTCTTGTAGCAGGCTTGCACTCACACGTGCAAGCCGCAGGCTGGACCCTGCACAAACAGCCGGGTTCTAATTTAACTGGGCTGTGTTTCTTTTTGCTTGCCTCAGGCAGTTGTTGTGTGTCTGGGGATTGGCCCTGGGCGTTGGCCTCGGGGACGTTGTCTACAAGCATTGAAAGATTTTGCGCTGCAGCACGAAGGTATCGTTGTTTCTCAAAACAGCCCAGTTCGAATTGTGCCCCAAGCTGCTGTTGTGTGGCTGCGGTGGTAACTGTCACGTGGCTGCGGTTTGTGCTGGGAAAGCCGCTCCTCAGTCTAGCTGCCGAGGATGGCTTACGGAGAATTAAGCTGATTGCAATGTCAATGACGTCGGCCGAAACTATTGATGGAAGCAACATCCAACATTCAACTTGGGTGGCTGACTTTGCACTGAATCACCTGTGCCGCGGCCTCGGCGCTATGAAGCTTACATCTTGATACCAGACCTACTGCGGGCATTGAGATGAGACAACTTGGGAAGTAAACATAAGCATCAGAAGCAAATATGCAGGATTCAGCCAGACTTCAAAGCTCCCCACCCTGCTGAGCAAGGCACCACATAGGCGCAGCAATGCTAGGCATACCGCCGCCAAGATAGGGGGAAAGGCCAGGATGGTCAGCACCAGCTCATTCTGCTTCGAAGGCCACCAACCTCAGAGCTGAAGCAACAACAGAGCAGCTGGCAGGAATCAATGAGAAGACGCGTCGAAACAGGAGCTGTCGAACGCAAAATGCTTCAAACAATCCAACTGGCGCGTGTCTTGGGGCGGCCCGTAGCCGGGGTCACTTCTAGCAGGTCTGCAATTCTGCAATGATGCATCAGCATTTGGCCCAGTGCGCATCTCCTCTTAGTTTGAGATTGCCCAAACAGCCAAAGCAAGCGCGCAAGGAGCAGCACATAGGGCGGCAAAGCAGCTCGGATGGTATTGCCAGAGCTTTTGCCTGAAGATGATCACTGAGCACATGAGCACAAGCCTTGATTGGACAAGGTGACTTCTTGGTGACATACTACTAGGCCTTGTTGCTTGGTGCCATTAAGCCACACGGAGCTTACCCGCCCAAAAAAAAAGACCACGGTTGGCCCGAAAGCATCACAGCCCGGCGATCATTCCCGCGCAAGTTTTTTGCTCGATGTGGTCACGAGCAACACACAGCAACTAACCTTGTTCCTGCCATCTTGCCACCTATTGGGCCCCCCCTCGCACGAGTTTGCCAAGCACGTCAAAGATGACACACACACCGCCCTCGAGCAACACAGTGACTACAACGCAAGTGAGTCTCATGGTGACTCTGCGCAATGACTCTCATGATGATTCTGCACAACGACTCTCATGATGATTCTGCGCAATGACTCTCACGATGACTCTGCGCAATGACTCTCGCGATGACTCTGCGCAATGACTCTCGCGATGACTCCGTTCCATGACTCTTGTGCGATGACCCTATGCAATGGCTGTCATGATGACTCTGTGCAATGACTCACGTGATGACTCCGTTCAATGACTCCTGTGTGATGTCTCTACGCAATGGCTGTCATGATGACTCTGCGCAATGACTCTTCTGTGATGACTCTACGCAATGGCTGTCATGATGACTCTGTGCAATGACTCTCATAATAATTCTGCGCAATGACTCTCACGATGACTCTGTGCAACGACTCTCATGATGATTCGGCGCAATCACTCTCATGATGACTCTGTGCAACCACTCTCGTTCTGACTCCGTTGAATGACTCTGTGTGATGACTCTATGCAATGGCTGTCATGATGACCCTGTGCAATGACTCTGGTGTGACGACTCTATGCAATGGCTGTGATGACTCTGTGCAATGACTCTCATGATGCTTCTGTGCAATTACTCTCACGATGACTCTGTGCAATGACTCTCATGATGATTCTGCGCAAGGGCTCTCATGATGATTCTGGGCAATGACTCTCATGATGACTCTGTGCGATCACTCTCGCGATGACTCCGTTCAATGACTCTTGTGCGATGACCCTATGCAATGGCTGTCATGATGACTCTGTGCAATGACTCACGTGATGACTCCGTTCAATGACTCCTGTGTGATGTCTCTATGCAATGGCTGTCATGATGACTCTGTGCAATGACTCTTCTGTGATGACTCTACGCAATGGCTGTCATGATGACTCTGTGCAATGACTCTCATAATAATTCTGCGCAATGACTCTCACGATGACTCTGTGCAACGACTCTCATGATGATTCGGCGCAATGACTCTCATGATGACTCTGTGCAACCACTCTCGTTCTGACTCCGTTGAATGACTCTGTGTGATGACTCTATGCAATGGCTGTCATGATGACCCTGTGCAATGACTCTGGTGTGCCGACTCTATGCAATGGCTGTGATGTCTCTGTGCAATGACTCTCATGATGCTTCTGTGCAATTACTCTCACGATGACTCTGTGCAATGACTCTCATGATGATTCTGCGCAAGGGCTCTCATGATGATTCTGGGCAATGACTCTCATGCTGACTCTGTGCGATCACTCTCGCGATGACTCCGTTCAATGACTCTTGTGCGATGACCCTATGCAATGGCTGTCATGATGACTCTGTGCAATGACTCTCATAACAATAATTCTCCCAACGGAACACCTGACTTTTGGTCTGCCCAAGTTGCCCTGCGCTAGCTGCTATGTGCAAGTGCTCTGTGCACTTTGCTTTGCGCAGGCTGCTCTGCGCAAGCGGCAGCGCTCTGCGCAAGTTGCTCTGCGCAGAAGTACATTCGCACACTAGTCTAGTTTTCGCCAACGGCGCCATTTGTGACCCCCTAGGAAGAGCACGCTTCTTTGCCTTCAAGCAGCGTTTGAGTGAATCAATCATTTGTCCCTCCCCAACAAGATGACATCATGACATCACGTTTTGCCCGCAAGACAACATCATGTTCAAGTTCCCCAACACATGTTTCAACATATCATGGCTTGGAGGATGTTTGGGGGGAGGGGGGTGGGGGGGATGGTCGTGGAACATGGCACTGCGTCTTGGGCCCGCAGCATCGCTTCTCATGTTCGTGTCAGATGATGTTTTGCCTTAGGTCTTGTGCTCCTTTGTCGCTTGGCAGGCGTTTCGTCTTCGTTCGCGGCTCATCCTGCGCTTGCTCCTTTCTTTCAAATTTGCATTTTGTACTTGGGCTCCCTATTTGATTTGGTGACGCAGTCATACGACCCTATCCTGGCTTCGGTCGTGTCCACTCTCTTGATTCCGGAGCGTTTTCCTCTTGACTTCGCTGGCCTTGCCCCCTGCCTTCCCCTGCTCTGGCATCACTTCCGTTCGCAGCGCATTGCTCTGGGTGGATCTTGCTGCCCTCATGCGGCTGCTTTCACTGCCTGCGTTTTTGTTGTGGCTGGCCGTCTGTCCGGGCGCCTGAAAAAAGGCTGAGAGCGCGACTCTGCAAATTTCATCTTGCCGTTACAGTGTGTTTTGCGCGTGAAAACCTCAGAGCCCTGGCAAACGCAATGGCTTGGAGCGTCAACTACGTGGTGTTTTATTGAGCAGAGTGGAAAAAACTCACAAGGTTTGCAGGTCTGTGACTTGCGGGCAGCGCAAAACGTCGATGGTCACAAACAGCGCCGTAGCCTAGTTTTCTGATTGAAAAGTTCCATTATGCAGCCGGAGCTGCGGGACTGTACTCCGTGCTACAGTTGTACTTAAAAGTTGCGATTTTCCAGCCGGAGCTGCGTCCGCGTACTACCCTTCCTTGCACTTAAAAGTTGCTGTCTAGAAAAGCTTCCGCGGACCAGGCGGGGATCAACCCCGCGACCGCGCGACTCCGAGAGCAGCCGCGCAAACCACGCGACAACTTCCAAAGACCACTTCGCAAGCAACAAATTCGCACGGCGCCACAGCGAGAGCGCTTCGACATGCACGATCCTCGCAGAGGGTCGCGCGAGCATATTCAGAATCAAAAAAACCCTCAATTTTTGCACATCGACCACGCCGATCCCCGCAGAGGGTTCATCCTGGAATGTCAACATCGCAAAAAACCATCAGCATTTTGACCTCGACCACACGAATCTCCGCAGAAGGTAATCGTAAAAGTCCTCAGTTTTTTGACCTCGACCACACGAATCTCTGCAGAGGGTTGCTCGCACACCGCAGAAATCGTAAACTAGAAAACGGTTGGCCCGAAAGCATCACAGCCCGGCGATCATTCCCGCGCAAGTTTCTTGCTCGATGTGGTCACGAGCGACACACAGCAACTAACCTTGTTCCTGCCATCTTGACACCTATCGGACCCCCCCTCGCACGAGTTTGCCAAGCACGTCAAAAATGACACATACACCGCCCGAGCAAAACAGTGACTACAACGCAAGTGACTCTCATGATGATGACTCTCATGATGATGACTCTCATGATGATTCATTCTGTTCAATGATTCTCACGATGACTCTGCGCAATGACTCACGTGATGACTCCGTTCAATGACTCTTGTGCGATGACTCTACGCAATGGCTGTCATGATGACTCTGTGCAATGACTCTCATAATGATTCGGCGCAATGACTCTGATGACTCTGCGCAATGACTCTTGTGTGATGACTCTATGCAATGACTCTCGTGGTGATTCTGTGCAATGACTCTCATGATGACTCTGTGCAATGACTCTCATGATGATTCGGCGCAATGACTCTCATTATAACTGTGTGCAACGACTCTCGTGATGACTCCGTTGAATGACTCGTGTGTGATGACTCTATGCGATGGCTCTCATGATAACTCTGCGCAATGACTCTGGTGTGATGACTCTACGCAATGGCTGTGATGACTCTGTGCAAGGGCTCTCATGATGATTCTGGGCAATGACTCTCATCATGACTCTGTGCGACCACTCTCGCGATGACTCCGTTCAATGACTCTTGTGCGATGACCCTATGCAATGGCTGTCATGATGACTCTGCGCAATGACTCTCATGATAATAATTCTCCCAACGGAACACCTGACTTTTGGTCTGCCCAAGTTGCCCTGCGCTAGCTGCTACGCGCAAGTGCTCTGTGCAACTTGCTTTGCGCAGGCTGCTCTGCGCAAGCGGCAGCGCTCTGTGCAAGTTGCTCTGCGCAAGTGCTGCCGGAGCTTTCGGGAAGTACTTCGCACGCTAGTTTTCTGATTGACAAGTTCCATTATGCAGCCGGAGCTGCAGGACTGTACTCCGCGTGCTACAGTTGTACTTAAAAGTTGCGATGGTCCGGCCGGAGCTGCGTCCGCCTTGCACTTAAAAGTTACGATTTCTGTCTAGAAAAGCTTCCGCGGACCCGGCGGGGTTCAACCCCGCGACCGCGCGACTCCGAGAGCAGCTGCGCAAACTACGCGACAACTTCTAAAGACCACTTCGCAAGCGACAAATTCGCACGGCGCTACAGCGAGAGCGCTTCGGCACGCACGATCCTCGCAGAGGGTCGCGCGAGCATATTCAGAATCGAAAAACCCTCAGTTTTTGCACATCGACCACGCTGATCCCTGCACAGGGTTCATCCTGCAATGTCAAAATCGCAAAAAACCATCAGTTTTTTGACCTCAACCACACGAATCTCCGCAGAAGGTCGCGCGCCGCAGAAACCGTGAAAAGTCCTGTTTTTTGACCTCGACCACACGAATCTCCGCAGAAGGTCGCTCGCGCACCGCAGAAATCGTAAACAGTCCTGTTTTTTGACCTCGACCACACGAGTCTCCGCAGAGGCTGTCGGCCCTACCCCGCCGCCCTAAGAAGAGAAGAAGAAAGGAATTTAAAACTCGTCATGAGTGAGAACTCTCATGAGCATTGCTCGCCAGTGACTCTCACGAGCACTGCTCCTCACAAGTGACTCTCATGATATGACTCTGTGCAATGACTGTTGTGTGATGACTCTATGCAACGACTCTGATGATGATGACTCTTTGCAATGATTCTGATGATGATGACTCAGCGCAATGACTCTGATGATGATAACTCTGTGCAATGATGATAACTCTTTGCAATGACTCTCATGATGATGATGACTCTGCGCAATGACTCTGATGATGGTAACTCTTTGCAATGACTCCCATGAATCCAACGGAAGAACCCTTCGCCATGCTTTCGGGAGAAGTCCTCAGTTTTTTGACCTCGACCACACGAATCTCCGCAGAGGGTTGATTTTCGTAGAGTGCTGTCGGCCCTACCCCGCCGCCCTAAGAAGAGAAGAAGAAAGGAATTTAAAAACTCGTCATGAGTCAGAACTCTCATGAGCATTGCTCCTCGCCAGTGACTCTCACGAGCATTGCTCCTCGCAAGTGACTCTCATGAGCCTCGCCAGTGACTCTCACGAGCATTGCATGACTCTCATGATGATGATGACTCTGTGCAATGACTCTGATGATGATGATGATGATGACTCTTTGCAATGATTCTGATGATGATGACTCAGTGCAATGACCAATGATAACTCTTTGCAATGACTCCCATGAATCCAACGGAAGAACCCTTCGCCATGCTTTCGGGAAAAAGGTGGAGGGCAAACTCTGCCCTACTGCTTTGTGGACCATGAAGATTGGTACCTTGCAAAAGTCTAGGGGCTGGCTTGACCGGGTTGGCTGAGAGACGCCGCGCACCAAGCGTCTTTCACAAATACCAGGTAGGCCGCCACCCCTCCTCCCCAACCCGCCTGTAAGGCCAGTGATCCTGATACCATGCAGAGGGCCCTCCAGGATGCAGTGCCACAATGTTGAAAACAAAGTGGGATGCAGTGTCCTCCTTTTCAATCTCGTTCTGGTGGTGCCACCGCGTCAGGATCTCCGGATTCTTTGGGCCCCACGACCTGCCCATATAACGTCCCAACAAATATGGCACGAAGATGGTGTCGACCACGGCGTAGGAGCAGCTCTTTGGCACGCACATCCCAAACTCCAGCGCCACGTCCTTCCAGCTTCCTGCCGACCCGTGTCACGTGAGTCATGATTAAGTCACACGTCTCCCCGTTGAGAGTTCAAAGGGTTCAAAGAGACCCAAGAGTTCAAAGAGTTCAGAGAGTTCAGAGAGTTCAAGATCAACTGCGGGTGTTGGACTTGCGCCGGGTGCCGGAAGAACTGTACAGTGCAGCTTAGAAAGATTGACAGGCCTGTGAGGCGGAAGGCGAGAAAGCCCCAGAAGAAGCGATGGCTCGCCTCCCAGCAAACCTGCCAAGTGGCTTCACCCGTTGCGATTCACCCTTTGCTCACTTCCTGAATAAGGGTGGTCGACATTCTTGGAGAATGGAACCTTGCAGCCCGTGAGCAGGCCTGTTATGACTCAAGTCTAGCACCTGTGAGAGTAGAGGATTCTCAAATGCTCCCTGCACTGCTTGCCTCCAGTCCAGCCTCTGGGTTCCCAACATGGGCAATGTCATGCCCAAGCAGCGAGCTGTGCCGCTGGTAGAAGCGGAAGTTGGCAGGGGTGTCATAGGTTGCTATGCAATCCTGGGCAATGACGCTGGCACGCATTTTGCGCGCTGCTACATCTAGAGTTGGTTTACTGTAGAATGCCTGATGCTACCTTCAAGCAGACCCCCATGTGACATGTCCCGTAGTCAAATGCAAAGAGCTCTATGCTCTTGGCCAAGCTTCCGCCATATTCTGCTGCCATGACGGAGGGCCTGAGTCGGCAGAGCGAAGGCCAAACGGCCGTGTGCATTGCCGAGGCGGACAATGCATCAAGACATCAAGATGCTGATCACCACAAAGGCTGCCAAGCTGCCTTGGAGACCAAGGACGCCCTCAGCTCTGTGATGAACAATGCAACACTCACGGCACCACAAAGCTGTACCATGATGTTCCTTAAAGTGCGCTTGCCCAGGCACTTCGCTTCCCCTTTTGTTTTGTTTGGTCGGACTCTTCAAAGCACCACATTGGTGCTACTGGTACCTTAATCGCGAAACGGTGCATCCTTTACGCCGCATAAGGATTAGTGCCAAAATGGGAGGATTGCCCAGCTCCACTGGGCAGCTCCCCTCAGCAGCTGATGGGAGTAGAATTGATGCCACTCCCACAGCGAGGGAGGAATCCTCCCACCTCACCGGATGCCCTCCCGGCATCATGGGTGAGGAAGGAAAGTAGCGAAGATCAGCTTGATCAATTCGCTTTCGACTGAGGGGAAGACCCGGTTCTCAGTCGGAAATTGCGGGTCCGGATGAGTAAGTTCATCCGCCCATGTGTTAAAGTCGCGCTTCACATGCGACGGTCCTAACATGACCTGGTGGTCATGCAGTGTTAACACAATTTCCATGAGGATGGCCGCATTGGGCATCCTGCGAGTGGAATCGTTAAGCAGGGAGAAAACGTTTCCCTGGTTATCACTAGCAACCAGAATCCTAGTGTGAGAAGCCGAGCCGGCTGCACAAAGCAGAACAGCCCTCACCAAAAGGAGGAGGCCGAAGAGCTCCAAGGCCGCTATCGCCCGCTGCGGGTCCCCAGTAGTGAAGGCCCACGGCTCGCCCTCCGGTGTGATTCTGTGTTGGAACCACTTCACTCGGGACTTGTCGGGGTTGGGCACGTCCGAGCACCAACCACCAACCCATGCATGGTCCGCCTGTTTGCCAGCTCCCGCATCAGATGCCCCCGTCCATGGAAGTGTGGGAGCAAATGGAGATGCCAGTGGGAACCTCTGGTTGAAGAGCTTCCCCAGAAGGATGGCCAGAGCACGAACCAGCTTCGGTGGCCTGCCCGAAGTGGTGCAGGCCTTCTTCCAGCTCCAAAAGGGCTGGAGGAAAGGTTTCGTCAATGGACACGCCGAAGTAGCCCATTGAATCCGGCCCAGGGCTTGTTCCACCTCCTTGCTGGTAAAGATGTCCCCCTGGGCCAGCCGTTTGAGAGTGGCCAGGATTATGACGTGCTTGACTGGAGCCAGCAGCACACAGGGCGTGATTGGGTCCACCACGAATCCCAACCAGGTATTGACCGGGGAGAGCGCCGTCTTCTTCCAAGAAAGCGGGACTCCCAGCGCCAGAAGAGTGGCCAGGATGGCTGTGGCGTCCCAGTCCGCCCTGCTGCATCTGAGGACCCAGCAGTAGTCGTCCACAAAAACTAAGTGACCCCAGTCTCAATGGCGACCCGGACCTCACTAGGCCACGCACTGAAGGGAGGCGCGATGGGCTCGAGCATTCTGGTTTCGAGGGAGCCCTTCGCCTGTCTGGCTTGGTGTTTCGCTTTCGCCTCCTCCGCAGTGGTCTGGGCCTGGAGGAGCTCCGGTGTGGGTCTCCCCCAGTCCGCACCCAGCTTGTCCAGCAGCTTCTCACGGAAGAGGTCCAAGTCCAGGTTCTTCAGGAGCAGGCCTCCATCACCTCCTCCGTCAATGGCCCCCCCTTGAAGTTCGTGGAGGACCGCCGCGGAGCGCTCCACCGCTTCCACCTGGTCCGCCTTCTTGGCCTCCTCCTGGGCGATGGTGGTGGCGTTGAGCCGGGTCTGAATCTTGAAGGCCTTCACCGCAGACGGGTGGAAGGCTCTGCATTCCTGGCCCTCTTCCTTGTCGCCTGGCAATGGGGGCCTCTCCCCCGGTGGGGCCGTCAGAAACTCCTCGTCCAGCTCCATGGGGCAGTTCCTGATCACCGCCCGGACCGAGGAGGGGACGAAGTCCGAGAAGCTGGCCTGGTCCGGGTTCTCGCAGGCCATCGGGTCGGTGGCCAGCTCGCTGACGTCCACCGAGGCACTGAGCTTGAGGTCGCGGGCCCGGTCCGTGTCAGGGCCTTCGGCACCCGCGGACCGGGCCGCCGTCCAGACCGCATTGCCCTGGTCATCCACCGTCAACTGCCAATGCGTGCCCGCCATCTCCAGGGTGGCCGAGTTGGTCGCCGTGTCAATGGGCTCCGTCTTCTTGCCGCACCCCATGCACTTCGTGGCGCCCTTCTTCACCCAGGGCATGGTGCAGCAGGGGCAGATCCAGGATGTGGGCACCTTGCCCAGGGGGCGGTTCTCCAGGCCCCCGTACCCCAAGCCAGCGCGCTTGCCAACCTGCTGTCCCGGGGTGCTGAGCCGGGCCTCATGCTCGTACTTCATCTTGGCGATGTAGAAGGCCTCCACAACGCGCTCCAGGCCCCCCCGCTTGAGTTGGGGGCCCTCAAAGCCTCGCAGGAGCCGCTGGACGTCCTTGGCCTGCAGTCGGCGGAGCCTAGTGGCCGTGGTCGCATCGAAGCAAGGGAAGTCGCCCGCCATCTGGTCGTCGCTGAACTGGTAGAGGCCCTCCGAGACCTTGAGGGCCTTGGTGAACACGCTCCCCCCCGGCGGGGGGGCTGCGGGGTTCTCATCCTCCTCCGAGGACGCCTGCTCCTTGACCTTCGCCATCAGCTCCCGGCGCCTCTGCCACTTGGCGTCTGCCCGGGCATCCAGGCGGGCCTCCTCCAAGCGGGCTGCAGCCGAGGGGGACCTGGGCATCGGCAGCTCCTTCTCGTCCTTCGCCAGGAGCTCCTCCATGGGCACGTCCTCCTCCGGCGGGTTCAGGAGCTCCAGGAACGCCCCTGGGGGGCGTGTCAGGGCCTTCGGCACCTGCGCCACCCCAGGGGCTGCATCTTCCATCGGCTCATCCTCTGCCTTGCGCTTGGCCGGGATAAGGGGGGCCTGCTCCAGCTCATCTGCGCTGGAGAAGAAACGCTCGTCAGGTGCCTGAGGGACCTCAGCAGCCAAAACGGTCCATCCTTCTTCCTCCCTCTTCACGAGGCTCGCCAGGTACTTTGCCATGGAGGCCTTTGCCTTAGCCTTGGCCTCTGCTACCGCGGCACCAGCGTAGGCGGGGGCGTACATGGCTTTGAGAGTAGGGGAAAGAAAGATTTCAAATCACAAGACAAAAGATCAAAAGGTCCACTTGAGCCAAAATGGTGGCCCAAGTGGATACTTATTAAGAGTCAAGACAAGCGACCACCTACGGTTAACGCTTTAGCCCATTGTGCACTGGCAGCGCTGGCTCCTGCTTGCACCGTTCAACGTTCACAACATGCGTAAATGGTCATGTGCCACGTTTGTTGGACACATTTATACTTTCATACTCGTCAAAGGAACCCTTCTCAGCTTGGCCTTTCATCTTCCCCACACCCATCCGGACCAAATGGCAAGGATTTCCTGACATCAGTTGCGCTGAGGGGCCGATGTGTTTTCGGTATCCTGGTGCCCTGAGGCGCTCAGCCTCTGCTGCAGCTCTGCTTCACCTGAATCACATGCAAAAAAAGCAGTGCGGCTCTCGCCAAGACATCGGGCTGCAACAAGCTACATTCTGTCCGGAGTTTGTTAGCCTCCAAAAACTCTCTCACCAACCCTGCCCTGATGCTGATGCGCATGTTCCTCTGGCTGATCTGACCCCACTGACATTGACCTCAAACAACTATGGACAAATCTCTGTCAAAAGCCGCTCAGTGGAAGTTTCTGGGACCAGCAAGGCCTTGCGTTTATCAATTCGAGCCCTCCAAACAAAAGCCCGACCGCTGCCGGCTCAAAAACCGTTGACCAAGGCATGTCAGTGTGGTAGCTGTGAAGGATCTGTAAACTGATTTGTGCGCAGCCTCGCTGCTTTATTCCCATTCTCTCCGGCAAGCCCGTGCCAAGCGATTGATTGGCAGTCAACGCAAGCTTGTTAGATTGCTGCTTGCCCAGCAGCAACAGATCTTCCAGTTGAAATGGTCATCCCAGCATGACCTGATTCACGCTCAAAGGCAACGTCATCTCCTGGAATGCGTTCTCTAGATGGTCCCCGACGCAAGCCATAAGGCCCCAGCGCAAGACCAACACCCCAAGGCCCAGCACAGCAAAGCTCAAAGGTGAAGCTCCCGATCCAGCAGCTGACCGGCATCCATGTGACTTTGTACAACAAGGGCACTTTCGTCTCGCTCTCCGTGTCTACACTGTCAACTTCTCAGGTGAGATGGCTCGCCTCGGAATACGCAAAAAACTGTGCCTTGCAAAATGGGGAGCCCAAGCTCCGAAGAGAAGTGCTCAGAAAAGGGAGCGCATCTCTGGAGGCTCTCTAACTTGCTGTTCAAGCACCACAGGCCTGTCCTACTGTTTTCGATCTGTGTTTTTGATGACATGATTGCGTTCCTTGCCTTTCAGTGGCAGACTTGATGGTCCCTGAACGTGCACCTGTCAAGCATCTAAAGCTAGATCCACAACACAGGGCGGCATCGACAGCAACTGGCAGCACCTTTTCCGGCTCCCATGCCATGCCAGCTTGCGTTTTGTGGGGTTCTAGGTCAAGGGACTCTACCATGGCCAAAGCCTAACAGGGCCTAACCAAGCAACATCAATCCTGCAGCTTCTCAGCTTCTCGGCTTCCCTTTACTTCCTTGCCTGGGTAATGTGCGGCAGCATGATGACACCTGCCCACTTCTCGCTGTTCGGGTGCAGGCACCTCCATCAATGGGAGCTGCATGCTTGAAGCTTGAACCTTTTCTATGTGATCACGTCTTTGCACCCTTTGCATGTAGGGTCAAACATGTTCACGGATCTCACACTCCCAAGCAGCATGTGCAGTGAAAACATGTGCTGCAGGCACGGACATTTCTACCTGTATTGTTTCGTCTTGCACCTTATCAATCGGGAACACCTACCTCTGGCAGCTAAGCTTATGTTGCTTCCAGTCTGCCCGCTGGCATTCTTGCGAGCAGTATGCGACTTGGCGACAGCTGCTGCAAGCAAGAAGGTTCTTCTGTGAGATGATGCCGCATTGGTGACAGCTCTGCACAGCGTCCAAAGCTTGCCCGACTGAACTGGCCGAAGCAGTTGAGAGCTGCAAAAGTGCTCGACGGAGAGGGCGAACATCCCCAAATTGGGTCAGGAATGCCTTTGCCCCGTGCTTTCGAACGAGGGCTTCAAGATATGATGCAGCAGTGTCACATCTTAGCACCACTAGCCTGTACAAATCCTCTGCCAACTCTTGGCTTGGATCTGGCCAACAGCTGTGCTGCAATCCCAGTACCTGCAGGCAACATAGCACATGCTCAATCATTCTCCGTTGCTCACTGAAGCAGTCGCTGGGGCTGCGCAGCACTCCGCACAGTTTGGCTAAGGAGTCGCGTGACAACAATGCTTCAACCAGCATCCCGCAGCCGTCTCCCTCGGCAGCTGCCAGCTGTGAGAGGCAGAGCGCGATCGCTTCCAGAGCTGTGTCAGGTTCTGCATCTTCATTCCTTGGATTATCCAACAAGAGACTACATTAGATAGGTAATTCAGTCTGGTGCTCTAGGGAACATGTCACAAACAATGCGTAATTATTTACCTTGAATGATATTGCTTAGATTTCCGTCACTGAAGAACAATCAGTCACAGTGTCGTAACACCAGCAACATCAACATAACCGCGTCAACCAACGTCAAGCAGTTCAAAACACCTTGGACCAGTCGCTCGCTCTGTAATTCGCTGCATAGGCGGTTGAGCATTGAGGGCACCACCTCTGCTGTAGTCAACTCGGCTCGAATCTCCGCATCGCCGCTGGTGCCTGCGAACTGCGCCACCGTTTTGGCAGCCGCCGCCGCTGCCTCCCCAGCACCCTCCTGGGAACAGCTGCTGCAAACAAAGTTGTGACGATTGTGATGTTGGATGTCCTTTTCTCAGCGCTTTGCAAGCAGAACTCACCGTGCGATCTGACTGCCCATGACTCCTTGGCGAGCGCCGCGATAGCCTTCACTGCCCCGGACGCGATCAGCTGACGCCGCAGCTTCGCGAACTCCTCGGCACGGCGGCCATCGCCCAGCTGAACCGCCTCAGGCGAATCGGCAGCCAGCACGCCGCAGAGCCGCGCCATCAGCGCCTGCGAAGCGCAGAGAATTCGAGGGAGAGCAGAGCGTTCTGCGTGGCAGATGTGGAACTTGGTTGTTGTTTTTGTGTCCCTCCCCAAGTGACAGTGAATTGCCAGGTCCCAGGATACAAGAAAGCTGGCCTACAGCCGATTATTTTGGCAACAGCTGACTTTGAATTCGGGCAACTGTTCCAATGCCCTGAACGATCACGCTGCTAGAAACTCTGACGTAGATATGCAGTTTAAACAGCTTTTGCGCAGTTCTGTTGCTTCCCTCTGACACCAAACAACCCGCAAGAGTAAAGGTACCAACACCAAAGTATCGCCATGCCATTTACACAAAACAAGCTGCTCGCAAGCAGACGACCAGCGCCTTGCTGGAAGCGGGATGCCGTGGCGACAGGAGCGTGGCTGTGATCACTCCCAGCACGCCCGAGCCAGCAATTCGACCTTTGAGCGACGGCCACAGAGCAGCAGCACACAAGGTCTCGAAAATGGCAACCTTGTAGTCGCTCATATCCATCATCAACCTTGCCATTGCCGCTCTGTCTCTGTGTGTCTGTCTCTGTGTGTCTGTCTCTGTGTGTCTGTCTCTGTGTGTCTGTCTCTGTGTGTCTGTCTCTGTGTGTCTGTGGCTGTGTGTCTGTCGCTGTGTGTCTGTCGCTGTGTGTCTGTCGCTGTGTGTCTGTCTCTGTGTGTCTGTCTCTGTGTGTCTGTCTCTGTGTGTCTGTCTCTGTGTGTCTGTCTCTGTGTGTCTGTCTCTGTGTGTCTGTCTCTGTGTGTCTGTCTCTGTGTGTCTGTCTCTGTGTGTCTGTCTCTGTGTGTCTGTCTCTGTGTGTGTCTGTCTGTCTGTGTGTGTGTCTGTGTGTGTGTCTCTGTGTGTGTCTCTGTGTGTGTCTCTGTGTGTGTCTCTGTGTGTGTCTCTGTGTGTGTCTCTGTGTGTGTCTCTGTGTGTGTCTC